TGATCCGCTTCGCACAGGGTCTCATCCCAAGTAAACTTTTTTCTACACAGGTCCTGCAGCAGAGTCTTGCCCGGCAGAAGCCACGGTGCGACGAAACCCATTGGATCGTTAAGGCTGGCCAACGAGGACAGAATTCCTCTGCGAGTCGCCGTCGTCTCAGGTAACTGGAGTCGGAACAAAACCTCGTCTTTCTCCGAGTCCCATTGCACACCAAGTGCTCTATCTGTTAGTAACGGACTCCCCTGCAATTCACGGAGACTCGGTGCCCGATCATCAACTGGGATGCAATCGATTGCATGGCGACTGTTGGACATCCACTTGGTCAACTTGAACCCTCCCAGGAGCAGTAGCTTGGATAATTCCTTAATGTGTCCAACTGCTTCCTCGATGCTATCAAAGGATCCCAGGAAGTCGTCCACATAAACATTATGATCAACACAAGAGCCCACCTTGGTTTCGAAACGCGGAGCAAATTTGTTCACGGTCGTTCTCAACACGAAGTTTGCACAGAAAGGAGAGGTTTTTCGCCAAACGGAAGCACCGTCATCCGATACTCCTGGGCAGGTCCGTCTAGGTCTCCATCCGGCCACCACCACAACCGTAGAGCGTCTCTTTGCCCTTCGGGGACTTTAACCTGCATGAATATCTCCTCGATGTCAGCCGCTACCGCAACTGACTCCAGACGAAATCTGCACAGCAACTCAATCAGCGGAGTCGTCAGGTTTGGGCCTTGTAATAGACGGTCATTTAGGGCAATCCCGGCACACTTGGCAGCACAATCGAAGACAACCCGGATCTTCTGAGGTTGCTTGGGGTTTATGACAGGGTGGTGCGGACGGTACCACAATGGTTGATCTTTTCCGACTTATCCCGCTGTGCGTTCGATATATCCTAACTCTAGATTGCGTTTCATGGCGTTACAGTAGGCCTTCTTCAACTGTACGTTCTTCTTTAATCGACCCATCTGATAGTTGAGCCTATGGAGGGCTATTTCTCGATTGTCTGGTAGTAGGTTGGATCCCGTTCGCCAGGGTAACGGCACTTCAAACTGAGTTCCGTTGTGTCGTGTCTTTTCGGTGACGACAGCCAGGGCTGCTCGGTCTTCCCTCGACACAGATACCCGGTCGTCTGCTATGTCGCCGAACTCATGATTGTAAAGCCGCTCCAGGTCGCCTCGTATGGAATTATCTGGCCGCAAGATGAGGTTGATCGAGGCGGAATAATTACCATCATGACCGAGCGGCTCACAGAGTATCCAACCAAACATCGTGCGCACAGCATACGGATCTCTACGGCCTCCTATCCTTTGGTCCAGAACCCAATGCGCCTCCGGTACATCACAGCCGATCAATATGTCCACTCAGGCATCAGGAACAGCTTCGAACGGCAGACCATGGAGGTGAGCCCAGCGCCGCGCTAACGACCGGATACTTTCGGAAGCTGTCATTGGTAGCTGGGCGATAGTAAATGCCTGGTGCACCTATATCGTATCTTCCCCCGATGTGGGAGCTAACTTCAAACTTAACTGAGAAGCTGGAACTGCTCGTGCCCCATTTGCCGTGTTGATTACCAATGAGGTGATCTGTCCACCCAGGTCGTGTTCTTGTGCAAAGCTCTCTCTTACGAGGGTGGTATCCGATCTATTGTCTAGAAACGTCACGGCTTGGACCATGCCACGTGCAGTTTCCACTTGGATTGGTATTATTCCCAAGCGGACCGGTCCACTTGACACCCGTCCGATAGTGAAGACGGATTTTGGTATATCTTCAACAGAGTCTTTGTGGGTTATTATCGACCCGGCCATTATTTGTTCGCGGCTCGACTCTTCCATCGTAGTGTAATAAGGGGTGATTCCGAACCCTGCAATTGTCTTGGCCACAGTTGGTTCGGTTTCTGCAAAGGGTTGCTCTGTGGGTATCGCTCAAGCACACAAAGCAGGACCCTGTCCTTTTAGATACTGTCCAGCGGTCCATCACCTTCATTGCCAGAAACTCTGGAGAGGTACCAAGCTTGTGGACACCTGTGCAGAGTTTGCACTTAATCGGTCTTTGTGGGCCATAAGAGATTAAGTTGGTGCTCGCCCAGTTGTGTAGGGGACAGGGACCTCGAGATCCAGATGGCGGTTGGTTGACGGCTTAGTGGTCCTGATGCTTGCCCTCGCTAGTTGACCGAATCGAATATTTGCTATGCGAGATTGCAACCTATGAATTAGGCGAGTTCGTCAAAGGTTGCCTCTCTGATCCGTTTCTCGATTCGATCAGCCTCGGTCGCCCAGGCTGTCTGCATTTCGGCCGGCAGACATCTGACAATCGATTCCAGCGTTTGAAGTGAATCCAGGTCCGACCGATATTCGAGGTGGTTTAGAGCGATGCTGCAGTTCTGCATCTTGGTGACCAGGTTTGATAGAGATCTAGTTTCGCCTCGTGTGCGCCTCGCCTCTGCTAGCACCCCCTCAATCATGTTTCGTGCCACTCGGAATGGTTGGCCAAACATCTCCTTCAGTATATTTCTGGCTCTCGGGTAGTCCACTTCCGGGTCCAGCATTGCACATCCTCGTATGGCCTCCTTCACCTTCCCCGACAGTAGTGTAGCAAACACAGAAACCATTGCCCTGTAACGTCGGTTTTGCATTCAACGGAATTTTCGTATTGGTGAATTAATTGGCAACATGGTTCGGGTTTGCCGTCGAAAGGTGTCAGTTCTACTCTTGGCAAATCAACGTTTCCATGGTTATACGTTGTTTGCTTCGCGACGGGTTGTTTATTCGGCGAGAAGCAACTGTGTACACTCTCAGCTCGAGGTGATGTTGTGTCGTTGAAATAGTTTTTTTCACGTTTGGCCTGTTCGATCTGCTGTCTAGCTAATCACAACTTATGCTATAATTCAGAAACCCGCAATCTAAATATATCGATATCTTAATATCTGAATCTACACAGGAAACAGCACTGACAGGACTAACAGATGTAACATTTTCTGAAGAATCAAAATGACCCACAGCCCCCCAGTGACTTGCCGGTTTACTGCCTGTTGCGTTCCAGTTTCCTTGGTTCCTCGTCTGGGCATCTTTCGAAATAGTTTTCTCGTTTGATTCCGATTTGAGTACTGTACGTTAACCAATTAGCACTTGAGTGACGCGTAGCCAAAACCGATACGAATCCCGAAATAAAACACGATTGATCCGTAATGTTCTACGGTACTGAATTAGCGAAATCATTACAAAATGTACAATAAAGCAAACCTCAAATATGCGGCCAAAAGCACTGAAGCAAGCGAGCCAAATATGATGTCCAGATAGAGCCAAACAGTCGCTCACGTTCTCTGACTACGCAAAATTCAAATGTGCCAGGCATCGAGTTAACAGATGAAGAATAATGTATGATGTTTGTGATTGACAAATGTCAATATTGAAGCAACACACAGATAGAGTTTGGTCACCATGAATCATCATGGGTTTGGAAGGATTTTCAAACATTCAACATGAAATACAGTCGCTATTGCTGTTGCGCTAGCTGCGGTCCTCCGACACCCTTTTGCGTGAAGAGGTTCCCTGTGCTCCGTTCCTGAGATTATCTTGCTCTGAGGAAACGGATTTCTGTGCTACAGTTTTTAGTTTCGCAGCAGCTGCGGGGCTGGAAGCGGTGATGGTTTTCTCCGCTCCAACCGCCTTCGTTTTTCTACCCCTCAACTCTCGCAACGGAATCCCTTTATGTTTTGGCGTCGACTTACTCAACGATGAACCCTTCGGTCCGTGTGTGCCCTTTGATGTGCACACCTGACCTTGGGCCTTCATTGAGTTGGTCGCCGATCTAGGTCTGTCGGGTGCCTCTAACCTTCTTAGCTTAACTAATGCATTCTTCGGCGGCCCTAATTCCTGTCCACTGGTGGGTGGACAGTTAGTTCTGCGGACCACCGTACCATTATCTGGGGTGACAATTATGCCGCCCCTGGTGATGCTTTCCATTGCCGATGATCTGGACAATAGGCGGTCCCTCGCATACACACTTTTGAGGACTCAATATAGGCCGGGGTTGGGTGGCCCTTTCGCCTTTCCATAATTTCACCCTATGACACTTTATAATTTCCGTCATGGTAGGCATCCCCGCTAGCCTAAGCGCGGTCTGAACATACTTCCGGTCCGCCTCGTGCCGAGACTTGGAGTCTTTAATCACGGGCTCAACGCAGTTATGCGGAAGTATATTCGTAGCCCTTCCTAGGATTGCTTGATTAGTTTCTTTCGGGAGCTTCAGCTCTTTTTCAAGCTGTTCCAATATGTCTTCTATACTTGCCATACCCTGTGCGTCCCTCTCTTGAGCTACTGCGGTAGTCTTTCTTTTCATGTTGGCATCTGGTTCCCGTTTTTCTTTACGGTTTACTTTTTTTCTTTTGGGCACCCGGGGTTTCATCTCCTTAGGCTGATCCGGCTGGCTGGTGTTGCCCGCCACTTTTTTCCTGGGGATGCGTAAGCAGTTTCCTATCAACTCTATACAGTGGACACAGATCCATCGCAGGGAAGTATGTACCATGTATAGGTCGTTCCACTTCTCTGTCAGCCTACCACAGCGCTTATAATACCAAAGATGGCACCGTTCGCACTGAATACCCTCAGCCACAAACTCTCCACAGCCGCCACACTCGTTTACCTCAGTTCGTGCAGACATTTGGAAGGTAAAGAAATTAAAACATTTAACACCGATAAAACTGACTACTTTCAAAACTGGAAAAATGGAACAAGGATGTACGCCAGAAAGCAGTAAGCAAAACTGTTTACGCAAAACAAATTGCTACCAACGAACTCTGTAAAACTGAGTGACTTGTGATTGGTGATTGAGTTATAAAAAGTGCCTTGGTTTAAACCAGGCAGTGTATTATAAGTGAAACACCGGTAGATATTCCACTTTAATACTATAGTGTATAGCAGAGAGCACATCAAAATTCGAACCGCGCGCGGGGTACGTACCGAGCAGTTCAGTTTGCACAGGACGGAAGTGGTCGAGACCAATCGTGAGTCCAGATCTTTTAAGTTCAGTTCAGTTGTCTTGAAGTCTTGAAGTGATTCACGGGTTTGAGGCTGCTGCCCGAACGTCCAGCGTCCTTGAAAGGTATCTGTGTTTTCTTTTCGTTCAAACATTTTCTAGAACCGAGAGTACTGAAGAGGCATTAGTAGGGTTCACCGCTCGAGGCGAGAAGTAAAATGAAAAATACGAACTGTCGTATAATTCCAAAATTGTTTTTCAAAGGTTTTCTTTTATTGGGGGTGAGCAGATAAACCTAAGTCAGGTCAGGTCAAGTCAGGTCAGGTTGCATAGGACTGAATATGGCCACAGCCAATCGAGCGTCCAGAATTCCTTCCATGGTATGCTCACAACGTGGGCACCCGGCACTGCTGTAGTAAGAATGAGAAATAGGATCTCATCTCACCAAGTTAACGAGTGAATTGTTAGACGTGAGCATTTCATGACGTGCATCAGTAAAAAAGGGAAATGGCATCCTAGATATTTGACACGCTAACGCTCACTCCACTGCAAGAGATGAGAATAATTCCACCCACCGCTTATCCGATGCAGTCTCGAAGGCTCGCACGGTTGTGAGGTCGACTGTTTTCTGTGGGAATCCGGTTCCAACTCTCGAAAGTCATATTGCTGAAAAAGTGCTTCCGCATGTATAGTCGACACCTCTGTTTCATGATGTTTAGCTCATGACCCATAGTGCCGTGTTGGGGAGCTAACGCAAAGAGACTGTCGTCTCTTAACCCCGATAATCCTTTCATGATTTTAAAAGTTTCTAACAGGTCTTCTTGCAATCTCCTTCTTTTTAATGAGAAATGCTCCAAAGCCTCTAGTCTTTCCTCATAGGTTTTTCCCCTGTGGCGTTCAATCATTCGGGTGGCCAATATTTGCACTTTCTTTAGACAGACATCATCCTTCTTGAATAAGGGTGCCCAAACCTGAACACAATACTCAAGGTGTGATCAGACTACGGCTTTGTAAACTGGAATGAAGACTTACGGTTGTATGCATGTGAGAACCGACCGTAGTCTAAATAATTCAGCCCTATTTCTGCGCGCCGCTAATGCACACTGATCCGGAGATCTAAAATAGTTGGTTACTCCTACCCCCGAGTGCTTAACCATAGTAGCGGGTTCGATAGCGAAATGGTTCTCTTCCGAGTGAACTACCATTCTGTCTAATGCCCCTGCGAGCATATGAATCTTGCAGCGTTAAGACGTAGGTCCCATTCATTTGCCCATCTCGCCACCTGCTCTAAATTCCGTTTCAGTTCACTTCTCCAATTCGAACCAACCGCCTTGACGTCATCTGCAAAAACGAAGAAATGGAAGCGGTCCTAATACTGATCCTTATGGAACTCCACTAGACAGTTGAATTGGTGTTGGCCTTTTCTCACCAACCATCACATAGAATGATGGTTGTGAGAGAAAAGCGCTTATCCACCTGTGCAACTATCCTTGGATTCCGAATGGTTCTAATTTGGTCAACAGAAGCGCTGATTCTCTGAATCAAAAGCCTTGCTGAAATCCAGATAGCAAATCTCTACGGTTTTACCCTTATCTATTTTTGCAGTAACATCGCCCAATAAGCACAACAGGTTTGTTAGGCATGATTGGTGCTTAACGAAACCATGCTGTGCCTCTGTCATTAGTATGTTTCGCTCCAGATGCTTCAATAAATGCGTTCTAACTATCTTTTCTAGTACCCTGCATAGTACGCTAGTTTAACTAACAGGTAGGTAGTTCTTAACAACTGCCTTCCTATCTCTCTTGTGTATGGCTACTACAGAGGCCGTTTTCCAGTCAGACGGTGAACTCCCTTCAGCTAGAGATGCCCTAAAACCGCTGCAAATCGACCCCTTAATTATATTAGCAATCGGCTTGATGATCGCTGGGCTAATTCCTTCTGGTCCTGCCGATTTCTATACCTTAAGGCACCCTAGAACCTTCGATACTTAATGGACTGTTACTCGTGGTTTCTCCACTACGTCTGTCGCCGAGGGCTGAGAAGCACTTGAAATACCACTTGAANTACTAAAGTAAGCGCAGAGTGCATCAGGTTTACTCTGGTTTTCAGTTATAACCCCATCTCCTTCAAGTACAAGTGGGCCCATATCTTCTCTGGCAGATCCCTTTGACTGGACATACCCGTAGTAACTTTTTGGCTCCAGATTTAATTTCTGGGCCAGCTTCATTTCGAATAACCTTTTTGTCTCCTTCACTAGGTTGACCACTGCATTTCTGTTGGCGGTGTATTGAACCCACGACCTGTAACTACCGGCTAGTTGGTAGGCCCTTCAGCTTCGGTTTCGGTAACTAATGACCCTGGCTACTGCAGCTCGCCACCATGGCGGTTTTCCCTTATGCCTCCAATATCTTAATGGAGCGAAAAGATCCTGGAGGTTGANGAGGTTGAGTAGGTTATGTTTGATTAACGACCAGCATTCCTCGATATCTGTGGTGTCTCGCTCGGGAACCCACTGCATTGATGCGGTGTATCTCCAAAGCCTACTTATGTTCATTCTGCCAAAATCCCAATTCATCCGTAACCTACTTACGGGTGGCTTCGTTCGGATTTCAAACCCGATGAGGAGGTGATTATTATTCCCGATAAGTGGATATCCAG